ATCTCGGTCAGAGAGAGATGGATTTAAGGCGGTGTGGGACAACATCAGGGATCTGCTCTGAGCCTTTACAGTAGCAACAGGTTGACTGATGAAATCAGGCAGAAGTCTCTGTAAACTATACTGTTTGCAGACGGCATTATGAAGATCATAATGCTGAGCCTGGAGAGATGGAGGCATGCTCTGGTGAGAAGAGGAATGAAAGTCAATAGAAGCAAGACAGAACATGTGTGTGAATGAGGGAGGCAGAAGCTTCAAGGAGTAGCTCTCTGAAGCTAAAGAAAAAACAGTGCTACTTCTCCAAGAAATAGTTTGACTAGGTTTTCTCTCTAATATAGTTTTTCTTAGCAGTGTTCAGCAAATATTTAGACATATATAGATCAAATTAATGGCAATAACAGGCCATTTGCCTGCCTGTCTAGCTAAAATAATTCAGATATTCTCATAAAGATCAATAAACAGCCTGCTGAGACAACAAGTGCCAAGCAGCCCTACTGAAATAATTTGCCTACATGATTTCAAAAAATAGAAAAGGATTATTACATTTAATAATGTGTGAATGCTGTTTCAATATTTTTGTCCTTGCTGTAGTCTAGCTAAACAAAAATCTCTCCGATTTGGACATAACATTGGGCGGCATTTGTCAAACTGACAGGAAAACCAAAGGAGACAGAGTACTGATTTGTATTAAAGATTCTTTTCAGGCTTCCTTCGTCACTTCAGCATGTCTATCAAAAAATTTAAATATTGTTACTGATGTCTGTCCTGCAGGTAATGATCTCTTTTCTGAACAGTTTGTAATGGTACTCTTGATAAATATGCACCCTGCAAACCTTTTTAGTACAAAAAAGTGTTTCAGCCCTTGGTTTTTTTCTCAATAATTTCCAGAGATCTTATTGCTAGAGACATCGGTTAAACTTATCAACGAACTCATCAAACAAGTGCCTTAGTTTACTTTTTTGAGTGCAGACTGAAATCCACTACTGAAGTCTGCACTAATATCAGAATTAAAAGTGTAGTGAAAGCCTTTTTTTTTCCTAGTGAATACTGAGGGTATGAGGAAGCTTCATTGGGGCGTTATATCTTGTTGATCAAACATTCCTTGTTTTGATTGCATCCTTGCAAAAGTAAGACAGCTGACGTTTTAACTCTTACAACATAACAATGAAGTCCTTCTGAGGAGCAGTGACAAAGCTAAGCCTCTGATTGTCTGACTGTGTCAGTTTGTGTACACTGTCAAATCTGAAGGAATAACGAAGTAAACTACAGCTGGTGCATGACTTTGGCAGGGTAAGTGTTAATTCTTAAAACTTGTGACCTTTATGTTTGTGCTTAATGTGTTCACTGTTGCCTAGAACCACTGAATTTCTAAGAGACTCTCCCGTAAGTTTAAAAATGTTTTGTGTAGATGTCTGCAAAGAAAGGGAATATAAAGATCGCGAACTACACTGACTGGATGTCACAACTACCATCTGAACTTTGGACAATTCCTCTCTTCAAACTAGCCATACCAGGTAAATGTATACAGTGCAACTGTGTCCAACATCAAACACAGCATGTACAGTGTGTCAAATCGGACCATTTTGTTAACAGAAATACTTTTCTGCAATCTACACTGCAGATTTTTTTGGGGCACCTCCAATAGCATTTAGTGGTAGCATTTATTCAGTCAGAATTCAAACAAACAAAATGAATGAAAAAGGTTGTGGTTTCTGCTGCATTTGTTAATTAATTTGTTAATTATTTGCAAGAAATACAGTAGTTGTACTTGGCTAGTGCGGAGACTGTACCCAAATGGCAGTGTTGTGGAAATGACAGTCTTCACTAGTGGGGATAGTTACAAAGCTTTCTTCGTTATGAATTAGCGTTACATGTTTCTATTGAACATTTGAAGATAAAAAAAAACAGAAACTCTTGTAGAGGACATAAAGTCAGAGATAGAAACGACAAGGAGCAGGTGCATCTAGTACAGGTAGAGCTGCCGCAAAACCCCACAGAGCTCAGCAGCCAGCGCAACAAATTTTGGATCCTTGGCTTTTAGTTAGCAGCTAGCATTAGCAGCACATGCATCCAATGTGAAAGGACCTTTAATTAACCTTTAACCTTTAAAGTAATAATGGTATTTCTAACCACTGATATACCACAACTTTATCCTTTCAACAGCTACTGAAATTTAGGGGACCTAGTTTCTATCGGATATTTATATAGAGATCTTCCAGCTTCAAACTGTATTACCCTTCAAGGACCTGCAGTTCAAAAAAGCGCCCCTCCACAGCCAAACCCATCTGTTCTCTGATTGGATTGTTAAATTTGTGATTGACATGACAATGACCAATCAGATGAAAGGAAGAAAACTAGGGTCAAAATTTGTACTAGTAACTTGAAACTTGAGTGCAGAGTTTCACTTGTATGTTTTGGCTAAGTCCACACACAAATGTTTTTATGCACACACAAATTCTTTTTACACATACAAATCCTGATTTACAAGTACAAAATATTTATGACCATAATTTGTGCCCATACACATTACATTTAAAAGAGGACTATAGAGCTACATGAGAAAAAAAACCCCATAAATACACCATAAAAAACAACTCCCAAATCTGTACAGCATTTTAAAACAACATTGGTAAGGCATTTGTGTGTTTCATTCGTAGGAAGCCATGACTCTGTGAGTTATGATTTGGATGCCACCTCTGCTATTATAGAGCCTGACAATCTAAAACGATTCAGCTGGATTTATTGCTTACGCAGAATAGTACGAACATGGGAATGACCCAGGTAAGGGGAGTTTCTGACCTGCCGCTATCAAATTTATAGGTGAACGTAACAAACAGAGAATGGAATGTTTGACTGATGTTGGTTTTTATCACAGGAATACAACATCACAATGCAACTGGAAGCAGGAGTTCGCTACTTTGACTTGAGGATCGCTCGCAAACATAATGACCACCATCCCACTAGGCTTTACTTTTACCATGGGCTGTACACAAGCACTGATGTTGAGGTAATAATAAGCATATTATGTAAAAGTACAAGACTATATATACAAAAGTACAAGACTAAAATATCAAATTTTTTGATATAAAAATAACTGAACTTTTAGCAGATTTTTTTTAACTTAAGAAGACCTTTACTAAGCTTTAGGCAAGACCTGTTTTAAAACTAGTTCAAGTTTTAAATAGACCAAAGGTAAATAAACACAGGTGTTACTGATTTCCTTTATGAAGTGTCTGTTCTATTTTGGTAATTAGCCTTAGTTAATGTGATTTATAACACATGTGCTCACTTACTGTGTCATGAAGGAACCCTATAAAGAAATTTCTTTTATCTAATGCCAGCTAATTTTCCATTGAGTTCAGACTGTTCTCGGGGAAATACATGCCTGGACAGTGGCCCATCCTAAAGAAGTCATCATCCTGGCTTTTTCAAACTTCAATGGTTTTGAAGAAAAACATTAAGATAAACTTCACAACCATCTTATCGGCTTCATTAAGACCATGTTTGGAAGCACACTCGTCCCCCCGGTAGTGTACAGTTTTTCTTCTTTTTTAAAAAATGTATTCATTTATTCTTAGATCAGTAGGTCAAATAAGTCTCATTGTTGAAGTACTTACTGTAACCTTTGCTTATAGTTTCAAAATAAGATATTCATTATCTTACAACAGGGCATCCCACACTGCAGAACTGCTGGACCAAGGCAAAAATGTCATAGTTTCATATGACTATCCAGCAAACTACCATCCTGAAATGTGGAAAAAAATAACTTATTACTACCCAATAGCATGACCGTGCACAAGTTAAATCAAAAATATCTGAAGCCTTGGGAAAGGAAAAGACTTCCAATTGTGAGTTTCTCAACTATGCCATGTTAAGTTATAGACAGCAAGACATTCATCTTTGGTGATCAAAAAACAATATTACTTGGGATGTAATATCCAAAATAACATCTATTCAGAGAGAAAAAAGTTTTAAACAGCCAGGTTATACACAATATAATTTGAGATAATTACTAAGCTTCAACTTGTTCCCACAGATTTCTTTGTATGTGGTTTGAACATGACTCTTCCAGCAGATCATAGGATACTCATCTACATCCTTCGTCTCTGCGACAGTTTCCCCAACGTTATTAGGAGGGGTCTGCCTAAGCTCCTGAAATGGCTGAAGCAGCAATCAGGTGTGAACATCGTGCCTCAGACTTGGCAACTCCAAGCTTTGTGTCAACAGTTGTTGAGCTCAATTCTGCACTAATGAACCATAACTGAAAAAGTATTGTGTTTCTTTAGTTTGAATATGACGGTGTGTGTGGTTTTATTCTTTAAACCATAGATAACTCATCGGTTCATTGAAAAGATATAAATATTGTACAGTTACTAGAGGCTTAAATATTTTGCTTGTACATAAGTATTGTATTGCTTTTTAAATAAACAATAAATTGTTTTTAATTTTATTTAATGTGTCAAATACAAAAACAAACACATTTTGTGTTGTATAAATTCAAGACTAATAACAATTAATAAAATAAAAAATGTGTAAAAAATAAGCATTATGAACAGGGTGTAATATTAATTATAAGCCACATACACAAGGAGGTAGGAAAAAAGTGCAGATATATATTTTATCTCACATATCCAATGCAATGCGAAGATGGTTTATAATATATTAGAATTTGTTTTTATTTCCTTTAGGTAATGTAAAGATTTTATATTTAATTTAAATTCGTTTACGAAAATAACAAACTTGGGAGAAGACGTTACTGCACAGTTTGTCATTTTTATTTTGTATCACCAAAACAAATACATTATCTCCTGTGATCCCCACTCCTGCTTTGTTGTCGCGCCTCCATCTGTTAAGTGAGGGTATTGCAAAAAAAGTGTTTAACTCATGCCTGGAAGTTTTGACTGCTGTCTCTTCACAAACTAGCTAACGTTAGCTTGCTAAAGTGACGCACTTGGTGGATTAGGATGTTAAGACTAGCATGGCGTCGGTCGGCGTCCAACATAGCCGCGCGGGACCTACATGCGTGTTAACTGCAGCTTATTCGGGAGCGTATAGTCCACAGCAGAAATCACAGGGTGACTTAAGGTGTTTCAGACAAATTCCCCACCCACCAAGCGACAGGTCACCGCTCCTCCATCCCGGGCGGCCTGCTACCTCAGGTAACGCTGCCTCAGCTAATGTGTAGCTAATGCTAGCTGTACGTAAACACTGCTTTGACATTTTACAGCAAGCATAGCGGGCTTAGCATAAAAGTCACGACCTGTTGTATTATGATACGGTTGTTGCTTGTGGCACAATAGCACTAACGAGTGTCGAACCACACCATACTCCCATATAAAATCATTCATATTAATATGTCCCTAAGGCTAACTCGTGGCCAGAGACATTCCCCCGTAGGGGCAAACATTTGATTAAAATCATAATGCCACGCATTTCAATTCGGTGTAAGTACAAAGGCTGACAATATGTTTTGGTTTCTATTAACTGGTTAGCTTTTCTTGCTGGTTTCTTGGTAACTCATCGACCACCCTCCGCTAACGATGAAAATTCTAGCATTGTGCTTCTAAGTTACACGTGAAAAATCACGCACATATGTGCAGATTTTCCACCCGAATTCAACAAAAATGACTCATAAAGTGAAAGCTGTTTGTTGACGTTTTCCGGGGTATGAACTTTTATTTTTTAGCTAAGTCATAATAAATTGGAGAATATTCAAATGGAATTCGCCACGGCTGCCAGTCTGGACTAACAGCTGCTTGACAGCTACTGCAGCTTTAATGAGCTGCTGAACAAGCTTGTACAGCCCCAGAAACGCTCAAGAATTGTAATTAGAAAAAATTAACCTATCAATATTAGTATATTATTTTATATATTCTTTTGTCGATATACTACACAGGGTATTGACAGTGTTTCTGTAAGGAACGGGTATGTATAGAGAAATTTGAACTGAATGTTGTAGCTGTATTTTTATCGTATTACTCAAGGGTAACACAATGACATCCTGGGCTGGCTTAACATTGTGTAAGGTATTTAGTCACTGTATTTGGGCCCACACCGAGGCAGCAACATCAAGATTGCTCTGTTTTGCTAATAAGAATCAGGATCCACATTCATAAGCATCTTGTGTGTCCAGTCCATCTGTCTTCATGAGTATGGCGTCAGGGAGTGAAGGGCCATCATCCACTTCTCACAAACACTCCAACAGGTTAGCTAAGGAGAGGTCACCATACCTGCTACAACATGCGCACAACCCTGTCGACTGGTGAGTGCTTTTTAAACTTCAGATGGACATACTTTCTGAAAGCACGGCCAAATGCCACGTTTTGTTTTTCTTTTTTCCTCTTTTGGTCAGGTATCCATGGGGGAAGGATGCTTTTGACAAAGCAAAGAATGAAGACAAACCCATCTTTTTATCCGGTAAGAGTTAAAAAAAATCTCCGAGACATAGATTACAGATATCTGGATCACTACATTAAGAATTTTCTTTTGCTTGACCTCCAGTGGGCTATTCCACATGCCATTGGTGCCATGTTATGGAGAGGGAGTCCTTCGAGGACGAGGAAATTGGCAAAATCCTTAGTGAAAACTTCATCTGCATCAAGCTAGACAGAGAAGAGAGGCCTGATGTGGATAAGGTCTACATGACCTTTGTGCAGGTTTGTATACATTTACATTTTCACATGAAAATCTCTTTCAGCTTCACTCTGCTAGTGCCCCTTTATAATTTTTGCCTGGGAATTATTTCCAGGCAACAAGTGGAGGTGGTGGTTGGCCTATGAGTGTGTGGTTGACTCCTGAACTTCGACCTTTCATTGGAGGCACCTACTTCCCTCCCAGAGACCGTGGAGGTAGACCTGGGTTCAAGACGGTCCTCACCAGAATCATAGATCAGGTAGTAAAACTTCAAGAATTAGGGAACATTATTATATCAGATTTCATGCATTGTTAGTGGGGATGAAAAAAAGTCGTTAAAGAGATTTAAATTATATTTTTGTTTGTTCTCTTTACCCTCCTGTGCTGTCTCTGTGGAAGTGTATGAATGACATAAAGTATGACTTGTGTTCTAAAGTGGCAGAATAATCGTCCTGCTTTGGAGTCCAGTGGGGAGAGGATCATTGAGGCCCTGAAAAAAGGCACAACCATCACTGCAAACGCAGGCCAAAGTCCTCCACTGGCTCCAGACGTGGCTAATCGCTGCTTCCAGCAGCTCGCCCATTCCTATGAGGAAGAGTATGGAGGCTTTAGAGACGCTCCAAAGTTCCCCTCACCAGGTCGACATGAGCCCAAGTGGTCAGCTCTGTAGCTTTAAGGCCTGTAGAAAATTCTTTATTTGACTACCTGACAGCAAGTCTTTTCCTGTTTCTCTCTCTTGCCTATGCATCTGTAGTGAATCTGATGTTCCTCATGTCCTATTGGACTGTGAATCGCTCCACATCGGAAGGGGTCGAGGCTCTCCAGATGGCCTTGCACACGCTTCGCATGATGGCACTGGGAGGCATCCATGACCACATTGCACAGGTATAAACAAACCAAACTAGTGTTGTAATTCAGGGTTTTTCTTTCTTGTTGTTGTTGTTTTTTTTTGTAACAGGATTATGAATGGCAAAGTATTGTAAAAAAATTGATATATGAATAAATATTAAACACAGAAAAACAAAATTCAAACCACCAGGTTGAGTGGTAAAGATTCATGAAAAATAGGGAGTAAATTAACTGTCAGAAAAATTTATAAATTAACCCTAAATTCTGGCTGACAGGGCAGATGCTTTTAGTTCAGCTGATGCTCAGCTGATACAGTTTGTGACACTGGCAGCTGTCATGTAGCTTGTCCCCACCATTTCTGCTGACTCTGCATGCTGCTTTGCAACCCAACTCTACCCTGGCTCAACCTTTTTCTAGCATAATTAATGCCACATCCAATGTCCTTGAGGCCTGCTCTGTTCTGTGAGGTCTGCAGCATAACGTACTATATACAAGTATCCATAACATAAAATATTAGAAGCCTCTCATGAAAAACATCCACAGGTCTCTTTCAATCCATTCCATTTTATGATCATTTTAAATTCGCTAGTAGAAACTGGCATGTTTAAGTTTAGGTGTGTTTTAATAAAACGCTGTTTTTCCCACATCTGTCAGAACTCATCAAAAAAGCAGTCTTAAAAGGGCATTTGTGCTCGAACAGACAAGGATACCAAGACAACCTGGAAGTTTACCCAGAAAACCAAAATATGTTAGTGCTATTTTGTGCATGTGGTCAGTGATGCCCAACCCATCAAATCATACAGAATGCAGTGGCGAGTCATAGAGATGCATGACAGACTGAATCAAAACTGTAGAGGAAAGCTCTTACAAAGGGCATTTTGTACGGTTAGGACATTTTATTCATCAAGTAACAAGAAAATTAAATAAAAAGTTGTCAGAATGTTGTCAGAAGTGGTGCTTCTCTAATGTGCAAGCCTGGTTTGTTCATGTCAGACACAAAAACACACAGATGTACTCTTGGTCTCTTTAATATAATCGTGTTTTTAGTTCAAGTCAGATATACTTATGTTGTAGTACTGATACTTTCAACTAATTTTAGTGAGTAAAATTAAGCAGCCTCCCTCTTTATGTCTCTTTATCTCAGGGTTTTCATCGTTACTCCACAGACTCCTCCTGGCATGTTCCTCACTTTGAGAAGATGTTGTACGACCAGGCTCAGCTGGCTGTTGCCTACATAACAGCTTCCCAGGTGTGTGCAATTGTCTCTGTGTGGCTGTTTGTGTATCTGACAGTGTAATTAGCTCTGATCTTTCTCTCTTGTCTGCATAATTAATGTTACCCCCCAACCTAAAATCTCCAGCATAAGAGATGGCAAACATTTACTTTGTTTCAGAGTCAAATCAAACACTCACAGTGACAACACATGTGCTGTTATTGTGAGGCTTATTGTTTGGGCAATGGCCTACCAGAACATATTCTGTAATTTTACACATTTATTTCTTACAGTTTGAGCCCAAAGAGTTGTGATAACAGATTTCTTTCATCATTTATTTATTTATCTAGCACTTTAAAAACACACCTGGTAGACCAAAGTGCTGTACAATACTAATATGCACATAGTAATAAAACCAGACATAGCAAAAAAAAAAAAAAAAAATTAATTAATGCGGCAAATGCGCCATCTCTCACTTTATGACATCTGGGATAGGGTCAGGCGCCCTGTGACCCAGAATTGAATAAGAAATGGATGAATTTCTTAAACTACGCAGTAATTTTGATGATCACTATCAAGGGCAGCAGTGATTAAACATCTAGTCATCTCAAGTGGTTTCACACATCGCTAATATAGTACAGTAAAAAAAGTATTGTAGATGTAATGCTGGAATTTTCTTTGCTTCCTCAAAGTCTGTATCAACATAGGTCCTAAAAATCCAGGAGTGGTCAGACTGTACTTTGTAACTTTCATTTTATTTATTTAGCCCTCAGTCAAAATGACTGTACTCTACTGTTTTTAGTACATCACTTCAAACACTTGACAGTGTTTTTCACTGCAGTGGGCAGCACTGAGTTATGATGCAGCAAACAACTTAAGAATCTGAATGCCATAGTTTTCAGTTTTCCCGTGAGTGCTTGCTGGGCTGGCCTGCTTTTAAGTCAGAGACTGAAAAACAAACCCTAATTAGGACACAAACATACAAACTCAAACAAATAGAACTCTCATTGCATACTGCACAGACCACTCCACGTGACAGTACCTGTGAGGTCATGTTAAGGTTAAATCATGTTGCTTTGGGAGGTGACTTGTGTGCGTTTCTGTTTTTCCAGGTTTCAGGTGAGCAGTTTTTTGCAGAAGTGGCTAAGGATGTACTGCTTTACGTCTCCAGAGACCTGAGCGACAAGGTGAGTCTGCCATTTCTGTGTGCACAACTGCTGTGTTGTTTTTGTGGTAATGGGAACTTCACCGTCATTGTGATGGTTTTGTAAATCAGCAAATAAAGAAACTATTTCACAAGAAATAGTTTCTTTTGGCTGCTTCTTTGGCATGAAGGGTCATCACAGCAGGTAACTTTAAAGGTTTAGTTTGGCAGAGCTTTTATACCGGATGTCCTTCCTGATATAACCCCAAAGAGGATTTATGTTTCCAGCTGAGCAAATGTGTAAACCCCTACACTGTGGAGCTAAGGGAGATATTTATGACACTAACCATGTTTATCTTTCTACAGTCCCAAAAAACTTTTTGGGGATTTTCTTACCTGCATGATTGAGCATGTGTCAAGACATCTTTCACAGACTTGGAGAATCAATGCACAGGCATATTAAAGCCGACACTGTATTAAGTTCCTTTCTATGGATTCTTTTTGTTCATGCATCCTCAAGGTCACGAGGTGGGACCCCGTTGATGAATAGCCTCTTAAACTCTTGCTTCTCGTCTAAGGGTCAAGCCTTTTTCCCCCCCTTTTGTTAAATGAGGCGACAGAAGTGAATTGGGCACACAATTAAAACCAGACTTGTTGCAATAATAATATTCCCTAAGATTTATTATGCAATTACAGGCTAATGAATTGGTGCTGCAAAGATCATTTTCTACAGACTTCATGCTGCTTTTTTGTAATACAGTGGGTGGGATCTTCCCACAGTGAGGGAGACTCCGTGATTGTCCTCAGGCTAAATTACTGGAGTACTTTTTTACTTCAGCTGGTTCCCTGTGAGCTGTGTGGGTCCCAGTGATCTTCAGTCTCTGTATTTCCTTTTTAACTACCTGAAGCTTGATTTATCTTGCATCATAGGGGTTGAAATTAATTGAGAGTCATTATGTGTTTTTTACAGTAGATCTATTAAAACCCTGTTAAACTTTGTGGTTGGCAAATCTCTGTGTTTCCCAACCACATTAATAGGCCAGTTATGATCTTAAAAAAGTGCAGTAGCAGTGCAGTGTTTAAGTCTTCATTTTAGGAAAAGGATGCTAAACCGTCCTGCTTTTCCTCCAACCAACTGCCGCGGTTTTAGGTTTTCATGTGTTTTTACTTTCCGAAGCTTTCCGAATTAATGCGTTTGTGAAATTTCAGTGTCTAAAATAATTTTTTCATGTTCTCAGATAGTTGTTTTTCATCATCATGTCACAGCAACAGAAAGAGTGTCGTGAATACTGTTGCATGTTTCTCAACTGATCTACAACAGTGCATTTGTCTCTCCCTCTCCCTCCTCCTGCCCTCTCTGTGTGTTTGTGCGTTCTCTGAAACAGTCTGGGGCTTCTACAGTGCAGAGGATGCAGACTCTGTCCCGGCTTCGGGGGGACCAGAAAAGCGAGAGGGGGCTTTCTGCGTGTGGACAGCCTCTGAAGTTCGGGAGCTCTTACCAGACGTGGTGGAGGGCACCGCTGGTAATGCTACGCTGGCTGACATCTTTATGCATCACTATGGGGTCAAAGAGCAAGGCAATGTTGCTCCAGAACAGGTACTTTTGTTCTAGTTGTGTTGGTCTTGCTCAATGAATGAAAGTGAATATGCACAGAATGATAATGGTTTATTATACTTCAGTCACAGAGGACTTTAAGGTGACTTGATAGTGTCAGTAACCATTAACATGAAAAATGCTGCAGTCAGTGTGGATCAGTATGTGTGAACACCCTCTTATTCCCTGTACTGTGTGTTGCCAGGACCCCCACGGGGAGCTGCAGGGCCAGAATGTGCTGATCGTGCGTTATTCAGTCGAGTTAACAGCTGCTCGCTTTGGCATCACTGTCGAGAAAGTCAATGAGCTCCTGGCCTCTGCCAGAGCCAAAATGGCCGTAGTGAGAAAGAGTCGGCCACGCCCTCATCTGGACACCAAGATGTTGGCCTCCTGGAATGGTAAAGTTTACACTACAGCACTGAAATGGTCACTTCCAGTCATTCAAATGGCTCTTAGGCTCAGCATCATTGATTTTTCTGTTTAATAGATGAGTAATCGTAATGAGTGACAGCAGTAATAGGGCTTGATGATATGAACAAAAACATTTGAGGGTGAATGGTGCAGCTTTATATATATTAAGGCCACTGAGTGTTAAAAATGTATGCAAATTTATAGGGAACAAAAGACCACTAAAAACACACGTTCACTTTAGTCAAGGAACTATATCGCTTTACTTTTCAGGTTTAGGTAGGGAAGAAATTCACATTTTCCATTTTCTGGAATCAATAACTCATGAGGAGCGTTTTTAGAACTCCAACAGCACCTTTTTCAATCATTTTATTCAGGACGTCAACAGACCACAAGTTCTTTTTTATTAAAACGAGGCAGACCTGGAGCAATAATACACATTAATAAGTCATATGTAGCTGACTGTGAGAGGAATGTGCTGCGACCGTCTACAGAGTGCAACACTCAGCTGTGTTAGCTTTGCACTCATACAGTGAAGTGTCACTGAAATCACTTTATCCTTTTTGGGCACACTACAAGTCTTTGTTGTGAAAACCTGTTCCTGTTTTCTTTTTTTTTAATCAATTCAATTATATTTATATAGAATAGAATAGCCCTTTATTGTTAATGTACACATACAACGAAATTGTGGGTGCTCCACACCAACTGTGCTGGAGCAAAATCTAAACTGTACACAGCAGGAATAAATAGCAAACAGGAGAAATATATACAATCAAGAGGGATTTATACAAAACAAGAGAAAGGCACACAATAGAGAACAAAATAGTTGCAAAGTGCTTGGATGTAGAGCAAAGAAAAGACTGCATGTGAGAATGGCCCAGGGGAAGAAGCTGTTTGTAAGTCTGGAGGTGCGGGAGGGCAGCGGGGCAGGAAATTGGTGGTCGGGGTGCACCTGTGATAGATCTGGTTTTCCTGAGATGGGAGGAGCTGGTGATGGGCTCAAAGGGTGGCAGAGGGCAGCCAGTGATTTTTTTGAGGTGGTGTTAATTACCCTCTGTACAGCCTTCCTGATCTCTTTTGTGGCCCCTGGGTACTAAACAGCCAGGCAGCAGGAGAGCATGCTCTCCACTAAGGAGCAGTATATAGCTGTCAACTCAAAACAGTCCCCTGAAGGATCTTTATATTGTAAAGTAAAGAAGCTACGAATAATAGAGAATAAAGCAAGAATCAGACGACCCTCTGCGAACAAGCACTTTGGCGACAGTGGGAAGGAAAAACTCAATTTTAACCAGAAGAAACCTCTGGCAAAACCAGGGTCAGTGAAGGGCGGCCATCTGCTGTGACTGGCTGGGAGTAGGGGAGGAAGATGGGACAAAAGACAGACTGAAAGTGAGCCACAGATTAGTAATAACTAATGATTAAATGCAGAGCATTATTGGAGCACTATGAGCTCTGTAAGATAAGATGAGAAATAATTAGAAATTCATTTAGTAACTTCCTGTTCTCATAAATTTGCCTAAATATGGTCATTTTTTGGACGATAGAAAATTTACTCCCTTCTCAGCCCCCTCTTTAGTCCTTTAATCTTTTTTTTTTTTGTACCTTAAATGGACCAAACACTCCTAGAGTGGTGATACCCAATACATATGTCTGCATTTTGTACAAAACCAAATTTGAGATATCAGAAGTAATTTTGCCTGTTTAGCTGGGGATAGATAATTTTATCTGAAGTAAGGCTGGCTGAGGTTGTGATCCACGGTCAGTTTGTTTTCTTCAGTAGATGCCAGTGACAGAAACTCAAACAGACAGCACACAGCACAGAAACTATAGCCATGTACTGCTGAGGACACAGTCAGCGCCAACATGGATTTCAGCCACAAAAAGGGATCAATATCTGTTTAAGTGTACTTTATGTTTAGGACATTTCCAGGCTTTTACCTGAAGAGAAGGCGGTGCACTCAGTCAGACTCCATTGACAAAACCAGTAATTTTACCTCCCAAAACAGCAGTAAACACAGTTGTTTGTGTGCTCCTACCTTGATTGGTCAGTTAGTGTTGTGTGACTGGTGAGTTAGGGGCCTTTCATCTGAATTTCATCTGTCCCACAGAGTAACTGCCAACCTACACTTTCTTTCTTAACACAAATCAACAAATGTCATCTGTTGTTACATACAAAGTTTAGCCATTAATTTAATATAAAGCTTCAAACTTAGAGTTACTATTTATTGTTGGACCTGCACTGTGTCTCCCTCCATGCTGCAGGAGAAAGTTGGACAGCGACCTTTAGGTAACAGTGCTAGAGTGCACCACTGGAAAAGCTGTGACTTTAAACATCAAACTATGTCACTATGAAGGACATGCACAAAAAACAATGTCAGTGACGTAGTAGTTCAAGCGTTTCACGATCGGTCACAGTTCTGAGCTTATTGCCTCAAAATGACAAAAGTGATGTTGACCTTTGGGCACAGTTTGGGTTAAGACCAATAAGTTGATCACTGTGTGTAAGTCTGATTAAATTCTGACCATTAACACAGGAGGAGTCGCGGGTCTTGTAAATTGTGCACGGCTGTGGCATGAGCTCATCGATCCTTTGGCTGGATTAGCTAAGTATCGATAGACAGCTCAGCCTCGTAATCAGAGGCAGTGATCTGTCTGATCAGGATTCAGGTTGCAGACATGATCAAAAGTGTAACACAGCGTGCCAGAAAGGAGAAGTTTTTCTGTGGGATGTTTCACAATGTGACCATTAATTCCACAACGGAAACAGACACCTTACATTATATTAGTTGATAGATTATGAGCACTTCTTCTTTTCTCAACAAGACAGTTTGATTCTGATTATGTCAAGTTAGCACAAGCAATTTTATCAGACTGTCATATATTTACAGTAAATACCGCTCATATTCACGAGCACGCCGTTTTTCTGCAGTGTCAAAGTGTGCGTAGATTATTACAGACACTTGTCATTTGGGATTAATGTGATGTCTCCTTAGCACTGTTTGTCCTGCACATTGTCTCAGATTCGATTAATTACAAGAGAGCACACATACACAAGTGCACCCACGAATTTGGCTCCCGGGGCTGACGTCTCAGACAGTGTGTGTTAGTGAGGTAATGAAGCTCGGCGATCCTGAGAACTTTCCAATTAGACGCAAGACTCTCTGTCTCCTCTCTAATGAAGAAACCTTGCCATTAATCACCTGTCCTCTGCTGCAAAACTTTGAAGGCGAGGCTGTGCACTCACTAGGCTTTGATTTACTACATAAAAGACGGGTGGAGGGAAAGCGGGAGGAAGGATGGATGCAGATAGGGACAAGAGGAGGAACAGGGGACTTCAAAGGAGAGAGGGGGGATAACTAAATTGGAAGTGTGGCAGGGGCTACATGTTGATACCTAAGCAGTGAGTATGTCATTTTATTACTTGGTGACCTCAATACACTCACCCTCAACGACATCACCGTTACTTTCTCCCTGTTAGGCCTGATGCTGTCGGCCTACGCTCGCGTCGGAGCTGTGCTGGGAGACAAGGACTTGGTGGAGAGAGCAGTGAAGGCTGGGGGTTTCCTAAAGGAGCACCTGTGGGACGCTAAGCAGCAGACCATCCTTCGATCTTGTTACCGTGGAGACCAGATGGAGGTGCAACAGATGTAAGCGAGAGAAAGTTTTGATGGCTCAGTTTTAAAAGCTTTAATTCAGCGATCATAGTCAGAATGAGAATCTGATGACAGCTGGTTGCTTGATGCTTTTGTTCACATACATGTCAGACTAGACCCACACAGTCCTGCAGTTTTTGAATATTTAACTGTGACTGAAAGCTGTCAGAGGATGTTTGTCCTAACCTTGATTTGGATTTTTGAGAGTCTCAGAATTTTATTCCTGATTCGATGCATCTGTAGTACAAAATTCTCTCAGAGACACTGCATGTGTGCTTTTTTCCTGAAGTTTAGCGAGCCTCACGGGTAGGGCATAGAGTCATTGCAGGTGAGGCGGGAAGGTTATGGAGTGAAACCAAAATGAAATGAATATGATTTATGGAAAGTAAAGGTTTGCTGAACCCACTGCACTAAACAAGTTGTGCTAAATTGAGTCCTCCTCGGCCGAGAGAGTTGTTGAATGTTTTAGTTCTTATGAGAAAGCAGAAGACCACAAAGGAAATACTCCTGTATTTGTCTGAGTTTCCTTCGCTTTCTTGAAGTGTTTGCTAGATTTATAAGGTCTGATCCAGTATTTGGGCCCACAAAAATGAAAAGCCTTAGCTGATTTTGGGTTTGGTTGATTTCTCCTTTAACATATTCCTGTTGTTGTGCCTCTAGACTGTTTTGAGCATTTTGCTATTTTTAGGTTTTAGTGGACACTTGTGCCTTCATCTACTGGATCTTCTCCAGCGGTGATCCTTCAACTTGATTTTCATTTTTGGGTGGCAGACAGAGTTCCCAAGGTGGCCGAGTTGTAATCAACGCGTTGCCAGAAAAAGTTTGAGTTTGCTGGAACACATCAGAGTTCTGGTTGTTTCCGCTGGAAGTTCTCTCAGGGGCCTTTAGACGTCACATCATAACGTCAGGTTTCTAATCTCTCACTCTGTGGTCTAGAATCTCAGTCTTTCTACCTTCAGGCTGATGACTGTGTGGTCTTTGAAGACTGTCCTGTTAGAACTGGAGACCCAGGCCTAATTGCAAGGGATGATCCTCCACACCAGGATTTTTCCAGATGTTGATGATTGAGATGATATGAGGTTATAATCTTGAGCTTCTCAATGCCAAATGACAGACAGCTTTGTCCCTTTTGTACTGTGTGACATTGCTAAATAGGATGTGGAAAATGGTTTTTTTTTTTCCACTTTGTAGTAGAGGAGCGGTACGCAGTAGTTCTGTACTGAGATGGCTGTTTATATGCAAACAGGAAACGGTTATATCTGGATAAATCAGGTTACTCTGAGAAATCAGAGAACATGTTCACATGCATTCTAGTAACCTGGTTATAGCAAAGCCACATTTACATGCTGCAGGTCAGTAATTAGTTTTTCTCTTTTAGTTTCTATCATTTTGTCTATCTGAGACAAGACTGGCCCTGTGTTAACTGGGTTAAAGACGCCTGTTGAATGACTCGTGATGAGTTTTTTTCAGCCTACATAGCAACAGTACAAAATCTGTTTTGTCTTAGAATGACTGTTTTCTTTTACGGGGTGCCGTGTTTGATTTTTAACCTTTTACAGTTAAGCCTAACATGAAGTGGAAGATGGCACAGAGTTAAGCTAATACTGTTAAGCTTAAGCTCTGGTTTTTGTGTTGAAATGGCCAAGACGACCAAATACAAACAGAATTTCTCATCAGTGTGACAAACACAGCGGAACGAACAGAGTCTCTTGTTGATTCTACACCATCACTCCAGGTGTCCCCGTTCTGTTGGCTAGCCCTATGTCCTACTTACTACGAATGAGTGAGTATGCAGTATGGCCGAATCAGCAGAAAAATATGCCAGGAAGCCCACATCACAGCATGAAATGCATGCAATTTTAAACACACATATAAACAGATAGACACCACGAGCCTCTGTCTTCCACAGCCTGTGTCTCATTCATAATGTTCCAATTCAAGATGGGGTCGGCACTGAGAGTGCTTACCAAAGCCCTTTTCTCAGGGCTGGTTTACTTTCTGTACATTGGTAAATCACTCTGTCACACCAGGCCAGGCACATATGGGCCGTGCGCTAATTTACCAGGAGGAATAGTAGGTGCTCGGGCTAACTGGGTTAATAGGCCGTGGTAATGTTGAGGAGCTGATCATGAAGAGTATCACCAAGGTCTTTAGGAACCAAAGGAAGGCATGACAATGGATCCAGTATAGCCATGGCAAGTGGGTCACTGGTGATGTTGACTCATTACTCAGGCTGCTGCTGTAGCCTCTTCAGCACTACACTTAGCAGAGATAACTTCTCAATTAGTTGTTTTTTTAAGATTTCTTTTTTGGCATTGTAGGATTATTAGACTGCAGTCTACTCTGTACTATCCAAAGTAGGAAGAAAGGGTGGGGCCAGATGAAATTGTGTGGGGAGAAATGGAGCCCAGACCCTTGTTGGGGCATATGTATTGCCTGGTCAACCAGCTGACCTATAGTGGAGCCCCCTAATTTATTTTATTTTGTTTTAGTTTAATGTTAGCCTTGCATCAGGCTCGCGACCTGTCCAGGGTGTACTCTGCCCGTCGCACTATGGTAGCTGGGATAGGCTCCAAGCCCCACCCCCCAATGCCCACCAATTTGATTTGATTTTTAATGATGTTAGTTTTAAGGATGGTTTGTTTTCATTCAATGACTGTTGCAGTTTAAATTAAATGTTATTTTCTTGTGCTAAAATGAATCTGGCTTTTTAAGCATGAGCCTGTCATTACTGTGTGGGTCTGTTTGCTTGTTTTTCCAAAGATCACAATAATATGTAGTAATGCAAATTCAAACTTTTTGAGCCAATAATCAAATGTGATTTTGACTGCACTCTAATAGTGTCATAAGCAGTTATTCTTTTTCCACCTCACTGCCGTTCAATTACAGTTTTATACACAATCCCACACACGCTGATGGGCTGGCGCATAAAGAGCAATTAGATGAGGGCATTCAAATTAATTTCAAGGGTCTGCAGAGTATCATAGGCTTCTGTTAGGGTTAGCTACATTGTTTTATTAATGACTCAGAAAGGGGAATCTCCTTCTGTGTGTTTTATTTTTGTCTCTCCTTTGTTCACAATTGTGTTTTTTCATATCGTTAGCTTCATAGCATAATTGCCTAAGTCATTTGACTAAGTCAATGACTTAGGCACTTATGCTATGAAGCTAACGATATGTAATTGACTCCTCAAGCAGCACGTTCTGTGGGACGAGCAAACATATTAAATTAGACTCGAACATAAAGGTCAGTGCTGTTGTTAAAACGATGGGACCCGTTGCCTTTCTGTGACCCACATCACCCCAGTAAGTTCCTCCATCTAAGCTTTATTTAGTGGGAAGTGAGTGCCTGTGTATCTGGGAACCATGATGAAGCCATCATTCTAAAAGTGTCCCCCGCGGTGCTATGATACAGTAGACTGACAAGGTGTTTTATCTTTGCTCTCAGGGAAATGACTCATTTAACACGGGCTGTTGAAGGTGTGAATAAAAAGGCTGTCGAGTATTTCTGAAAGGCTTTTTACATTTTTGTGTTTGTGTGTTAGTGAGGTCGTCTTTAGCGCTCGCCTGTGGCTGGAGTCACCCCAGCCAGATGACATGTTGCTGTGTGACTGAAAAGGCTGTTGTCCTCTTTTGTTTTGTTTTTTAAACTAAGAAAACAAAAATGATTCAGAAGCTGGCTTGGTAATGTCTGTGTGTGAGTGTAGGGAAGGTTGAGATTGTGTTCTATTGAAAAACAATATTTGATGTGTCTGATGTTAAATGTAATTTAAAATGTTTTTTTGTTTTTTTTAAGTTTTCAATTTAAAGACTTTGCACCAGCAGACACTCTGTGCCAATACTGCAGTAGTTTTCTAAATCACTGCATAGTGTGGGTGTTTCTAAAGACCCAGACTTCATGAGGCTCATGCAACAAAGATTTTAGGGAAATAAACTTCTCATTATTATATATCAGGGCTCTAGACTAACTTTTTGCCATGGGCGTACCGGCACAAAAGTTAGGCGCACACAAATTGTATAATAATTTATATAATATAATGTGTTTTTCTGGATACACTGTGCTTTTTCAGCATTCAAAGATTGATGACACCATGTCAGAGCACTGGCTATGAATTTCAGAAGGATCAGGCCTTAACTTAACAGAAAAGTTAGCAATAGTTCTTTTCCTAGTACAGCTACATCCACTTCTGTCGTGGCTAGGCTGCTCACTAGGGCTGGGTATCATCACTGATTTCTATTATCCATTCGATTCCGGTTTTCAAAGTCCCGATTCGATTCAACTTAGCCTCAGACAGTCAGAAATATTATAATTCTGATCATTTATCAGTACTGACTTCATCACAATTGTGAACATCACAGCAGATGCCTTTGTGTGAAAGTAACTGAGAATAAAACACAGAAAAACATGAAGGAGATTTTCCTGGTCTGGCTTTTTATAGCAGATAACCTTAAAAATATTCTACAATGTTCTGCATATAAAGTTTCAATTTCTTCAGTATTGAACAACAGAAAAAACAGGCTTTCTTGTCCGAGGTCATTTAAGTGAAAAAAGTGAAAAAAAGAAAAGAAAAAGACAGCAGCCACAGCACTGTAAACAACGGTAGACTGGTGGGCAATAAGCGAATGAATAATACAGAAAACAGAGATTGGAGACGAGAAACTGTTCTTGAAGTACAGAGAGAGAGAGAGAGAGCGAGCTAGCTGTGCATGAAGTGTGATTTTAATAGTCGTGGAAGCAAAACAGCAAAATTTGTGACGACATTGATCAAATGTGAAGCGTAGTTTGCTGCTTCTTTGGTGAATTTTGGTTGGAGAGACAAAACCTGCAGCTCAGAATCAGCGCAAAAAGACGTAAACACAGCGCGGACCGGACGCATCAGAATCGCTAAGCTCCGACAGCGTGTCCGTCTACGGTCCGTCGGGTGAGAAAGCCGAGAAAGACAAAGCTGATTCTGATGCGTCGGTCCGCTCTGTGTTTACGTCTTTGTGTAGAATCCATGTACCTGCTCTCATCTGCTGTTTGGTTGTTGTTGAAATGGTTTTGTGGCGTTTCTGGCAAAACACAGTTATATTTAAAAGTCAGGATTTAATGAATTGATATCGCTTTATTCAAGCTACTCACCTCCCACTTCCACCTGCACTTTCAACTGGACCACGGCCATTCAGAGAGGTCCCGCCCCTGACTATCTCTGATTGGTTTAGTCCACGATAGGGGCAAAATGTGTGTCTGTTGTTGACCACAGGGAAGGTTGCATATTTATTTTATTTTTATTTTTTTTTGCTACCCGAACATTTGGTCTCACAGGTGCAACCAAATGTTTGTTTGTTTTAGTCGCACCACTGAAAAATTTGGTTGCATTTGTGACCAAATTGGTCGCACTCTAGAGCCCTGTATATTAGGGGTGCAACGATACACAAAATTCACGGTTCGGTTCGGTTCGATACTTTGGTGTCACGGTTCGATATTTTTTCGATACAAAAAAATGTTCATGCATTTTTAATTTGTCATTTATTAAAATTATAAATATATATTTTAACTCAAAAGTACAGTTTTTAAATTTAACCCTAACCCTTGTGCGCGTTTTTTATTTTGACAGCGAATGCGCACCTGCGGACCACTTATGTGCACCCCTGGTTATTTAGCTCGTCATATTGCAGCCACAGAAATTCTTTTGTCCATGAAACCATAAAGCTGCACTTTCTTTTTGCCTTATAGTCTCATTTGTCATAACTTCTCCGTTTTGTGGTAAGCTTTTCTTTGGCTGTCACTTCTTCACCCTGACCTGTCTTATTTGGCTCAGCAGAACTGAAATATAAATCCTGCTACTTTTACACACGCACTCACATAATTTCAGCGATTCTCTGCGCGATCAACCTCTCACATGTTTAAGCTTGCTGCGGGAGATTTCACTTGTCATGTTTGCATAGTAAGCTAACGATTAATAAGACGATGTCAGAGGAATTGGTGCACAAATTATCATCACTCACAGATCAGTGCTGTCATTGCAAAGTGAAAGCAAAAAAACAAGCGCAAATTCAAACGCGACTTCAATATGTCACATATTGACAGTGGCTCACCGATGCCAATGACATAATTACCCAGCTACATTTCTGAAAGAATGCAAAAGCATTGACATATATTTTTCCTACAATAGCCCGACGGGCAGGGCAGAGAGATTTTTGTAGCCCGACTGGAAAGATCGCTAGCTCCGGGACGTCGGGCTAGCGATTTTGCAAGCCCTGTATCTGATTGAGGAATCACTCATCTTTGGAAAAGAGTTTATTACAGAGAAATGTCTCTTTCCAAAATAAAAGCTATACTATCCGCTTCTTCTGGGCTATATTCTCAGCAGCATAAGGAGAATCCTGTGCTAACGGCTGTCTAAATGACTCGGCTAAAGTTAGTAGCATGCTTGTTGTTTTTGTCTTTGCACTAGGATGATGTCGGCGTAAATGTGCAGTCATATTCGTTGTGTTCCCACTAGTGCTTTCAGGTTAATCTCGTTGAAATGACCTTAACGCCACAACACGGCAAATCTCCGTTAACGAGCTACCGCCGATCGCCCCGTGCATGGGGCTAGACGGCCAACACGTTAACGAGCTAACTGCGCTAACACACTAGTTAATTAAGCATTGCATGGCACATCCAACATACTGTTTTACTTTAGTCCATGACTCGCTTACCTTCAGGGTCATACGTCACATGAAAACCAAAATAATTCCAAACGCCAGATCTGAATGAGGGTGGGGGAGGTCCATCTTGCAAGGAGAGCTTAACTTCTGTCTCGCTAGCTTGCCCTGCGCTCTTCCTCCTGACTATGCTGTCTGTGTTGAGCGCTCAGTGGATCTGCGCTCGACAGTGCAGCCTAGGCGGAGTAGTCGAACGCAGATTCACTGAGCGCTCCACACAGACAGCATCGTCAGAAGGAAAGTTGATAAAATAAATTACAAATGTTGTATTGTTCGATACATATGCGTACCGAACCGAAAGCACTGTATCGAACGGTTCAATATCGATACGAATATCGTTGCACCCCTACTGTATATATATCTGCTTTATAAGCTCAGTACTGTGCAAAAGTATTAAGCCAGTGTAAAATTTCTTTATATTTGTAAGGAAAGTGGGAAATGAATGCAGCGATTTACTGAAACGTGCAAGCATAAATGGAAGTACAGAATATGAGGCAAAAAACGAGTTTTCACAGTTCTGTCAAGCAATAACTGGAATGACCAGATTTATTCTTCAGCACAGCTTGAATTCTTATGGTCAAGATTTCTTATAATTTCTTTATCAATCTCAAGGAATATTTGTCTGGGCATCTTAAAGGACTTGTAACAGGGTTCGTATGGGTGCTTGAAATACTTGAAAATGCTTGAATTTTAATGTTGTCTTTTCAAGGTTTGAAAAGTGCTTGAATTTTTAGATGTGGCGCTTAAAAGTGCTTGAAAGTGTAACTGTATTTCATTCACCACAAATAACTATCTGATTGAATAGTTTTCTTATCAGATAGAGAAATAATATGAGTCGCAAAATGTAAAAGAAAAATTTCCCCGCCTGGGCTGCCTTGCGTCTGTTTCAACGTGTGACCCCGCCCTTCCCTCGGACAGTCAGGGATGAGTGCGCTAACATACCTGTAGGTTGCTGTTTTAACGAGTGTTTGATGGAAAACGACAATGGCGGAGTTTGCGCTCTCCAGTCGCGTGATAGGTGAGTCCTAGTAAATAATTTTCCAGTACGTGTACCCCATATGGAAAAGATATATAGATACAAACTTTATAAGATTTATGTCTTGTGTGAAACTTGTATGAAAAGTATACAAGAGTGAAAACAGGTATAAGATCCCTTAAAAATTATATAAATGAAACTTGTATGTTTTGGATACTTACTTACATCAAGTTGCTGGAAGGAATTATTTATGTTTCAAACTCAAAAAACAACGGCCTCCTTGTTGACAAAAAAAGAAATCACATTCCTTTAATTATATAGAAAATATAAGAAAAATCATTTATTTGCTATGTGTAAACATAGATCAGGGCCTCCTCCTGGTGGGACATGCCTGGAAAACCTCACCCAGGAGGCGCTCAGGAGGCATCCTTGTCAGATGCCTGAACCACCTCAGCTGGCTCCTTCCAATGTGGAGGAGCAGCAGCTGTACTCTGAGCCCCTCGCGGATGGCTGAACTTCTCACCCTATCTCTAAGGGAGAGGCCAGCCACCCTTCGGAGGAAGCTCATTTCTGCCGCTTGTATCCGCGATCTCGTTCTTTCGGTCACTACCCACAGCTCGTGGCCATAGTTGAGGGTAGGGACGTAGCTCGACCAGCTGCATCACTGCTGCCGCAGCACCAATCCATCTGTCGATCTCCGGCTCCCTTCTCCCATCACTCGCGAACAAGACCCCGAGAACCTTGAACTCTTCCACTTGGGGCAGGAACTCATCCCCGACCCGGAGTGGGCACTCCACCCTTTTCCGGCTGAGAACCATGGCCTCAGATTTTACATAATAATCTATATGATAATTGTAAGTTTACAGGGACTGAAACGAGTGAATAAAGTGGCCAAAGCCACTTCAGAAAGCCTCAGAACTTTTGCTTAAGGCCAATTTAAAAATAACAAGAAATTCTGGCTCCATGGAAACAAAAGAAAAGAGGGGGTGGGTCAGGACTTTTGCAGAGTCCTATACTGAGTTGAGTTGGCTAGAACAAGTGCTTTTGCTCTGTGTATGAGTTGGCTCATGAATCAACCTTTTTTCTGGGGAAGAAAAGCTGCTCTCTGACTCCTCACCTCTCCATGACCTTAAAGTCATGCACTTTATCTTCTCCAAGTGCACCTCCTGTTTTTAGCCTCTTGACTGCCAGCCATCAGCCTCTCATGTCACAGCACTGTCTGGCCTCCTGTCACTGTCTGTCCCCATGCACTCACTCAGACGGGGTGCCGTCATAAGAATTGGAGGGGAAAAGTAGCACGGGGTGGAATAACCCTCGAATTTAGAAGCTGATTTGCAGCGACTCAGTAGCAACATTGTGAAGGACAAGTCTTGAACAATAAATCAGAATCAATTTCACTGACAGAGAATGATTTGTAAAATTGGGAGAAATTGGTAGGACAAAAGAACTCGTCTGAATGAAGTGGAGGAGGAAAAAGAGTTACTTCAAACGTCAGACATCTTATGTATGCAGTTGTGTGCCTATGCGAATGTCTTTGCCTTTACTATAGAAACACAGATGAATAATTACACATTGAGAAAAATGCTTCAGGAAGTGATTATACTCAGCTAACTATGTGTATTATAATGTAGTCGTGGATTGTCCCAAGTATCTCCTTCAGGCTCTTTGTAATGCCTTTGTAAGGCAGTCCCTCCACATTTCTTTAGCATCTGGCTGTTTGTCTTCCTCAGGCAGTATAAAAAAGTAAAGCATGGAATGGAGAAAAAAACAAAGCAAAACTAGTTCACTAAAAGTAACTCATGTCAACGCATCGATCAATAAATTCTTAATGAAAATTGTCCTGATTCCCACTCTCCTCTCCTGCTCCTCTGATTTTCACTTTCTCCCTCTGCGCTCTGCAGATCTCCGTCTATCTCTGGCTTCCTGGATGACTATGCCTTCATCATATGTGGTTTGCTGGACCTGTACGAGGCCACGCTACAAACAGAGTGGCTGCAGTGGGCTGAGGAGCTGCAGCTGAGGCAGGACATGTTGTTCTGGGATGATCAGGGCGGAGGCTACTTCTGCAGTGATCCCACTGACAGCACAGTACTGCTGCAGCTGAAAGAGGGTGAGGGATGGATGCATTAGCTGCTTTTTTTTTTTTTTTTTTTTACCATAGGAACATTTGAAGATGCTCAATGCACTTAACTTCAATAAGAACTACAATATCTTACCCCCAGCAAAGTCCCTGCTCAGGGGGGTTGGCACATTCTGGAAGTTTAGGGATGTGTGAGTGGTGACTGCTTTTTGTTAGGATAACTTACTTTTTATAAAGATAACATTTAAATCTGGCCCAAGCACAGCTTTTGATTGCTCTGTTTGAGCAAGACAAGAGAGGCTTACACAGCTGGAACGTCTGGTTTGCCATGTTTTTAGAAAGTCTTGTCAGAATAGCTGTTTCTACATCAGTGAACTAATTTGCCTAATCTCTGAGGTTCTTCAGACTGAAGTGGAATCACATATGAACAACAGTGTAAAGGAACCTTTTCTTTCTTTGAAGTTTCAGGGACAGAATAGGTACCTGGAGTGGAAATGTAGGTGCTGATAGATTGGTAGATCATCTCAGTATGGGTGTTGAGGCAAACATGATTTCTTTCTTATAAAATGAAAATAAACTACTTAGATATCTGAAATCTCTGTTATCTTACCTGTGTCTACAATATTAGTAGTGAATTTAAATACATAACTCTGGAAGACATTACCATCATGTCAGAGCATGATGGTAATGTCGCCTGTGGCAATTAGGAATCCGCAAGGAGTGTGATTTTTACAGTGTCATAGAGCGGACAATTTGAGTGATTGTACTCTGAGCTATAGTGATTCATACGTCTTTTGTTTCTAAAATATGAAAGCCAACAAAAACATCACAGTTTGTATTTAGCATTTTTTGTGACTCATACTGAATAACTAACTTCTTCTGTTTAAAAACTTGCTAGTGTTTTTGAATGTTGTATTTTAACCCTCTAGAAATCTAACTGCTCTGTAAAGTTTCAACATACACTACATATAAGAGATATAATGTAGCTACCTTAATGATCACACACACACACACACACACACACACACACACACACACACACCGACCGATCTATAACCACTATATGAACCCTATAGTCAGCTCCTCTGACTTTAAATCCTATGGATAATATACAGTTTATACAAAGAGGCAAATTAGCCATGGAGTCAAAAGTGTGTTAAATGGAAGTCTGTGGTCTTGAATAGCTTTAAGTGGGTCTTCAAGGAACAACAGTTTTGATATTAGACCTGAAGATTTGCCCAGATTAGTAACTGAAAGGAGCACGAGTGCTCGAATGCAGTGATTGTGTTGTTAGATGAGCACAGAGGTGATCAGGAAAAGTCTTTAACGTCCATTCTCCTGGGCTCACAAATGTCTGTAGAAAACTTAGGGTAATTTTGTTAAGCAGTCATGTAATGTTTTTTTTTTAAGCTTCCAGCTAGGGCTGAACGATTATGGAAAATAATCTAATTGCGATTTTTTTGCCCCAATATTGCGATTGCGATGCGATATGCGATTATTTTTTAAGGTCTTTGTCTTCTGTATTATTAAACAAAGACAAGCAATACATCATATAGTATGGCCAATACTATATTACATTAATTTTAAACTGTTCTTTCCTGGAAGACAGACCTCTGTTATGATGACATGAGGTGATGCATGAATTGATGACTGACATTTTTATTTAACTTCTTCAATCACAACAGTATATTTGAACATACACAATAGTTTATTTTTAGCTTACAAACATCTGAGCATAAAGTGCTGACAAGGAACCCTGGTGTAAACATTAAAATGAAAGTCAGTACAATGTGCAGATTGCAGAAATATACATAAAAAAAATCAGTGGCTTTACCACACTCAGTTTTTCGACATCTGTGAACTACTAGACAGTCATTCAATTAAAAAATAATATTAAATAAATAAAACTAATAAATAAAAAATACACACATCTTACTGATCTCTGCAGTCAGTAACATTACACATAAAGTGCAAACATAATAGCAATTGTATAAACACACACACAAACACGCCTTTAAAGTTTAAAGGCGTGAAATTGGACGGTCTAGTTCTGATTAGCGTCACCGCTGTCTCGGTGGAGTTTAATAAACTCGGCCGTCTGCTTCTTGCTATCTAAAATATAACGGGACACTGGTGTAAATTCTCGACTGTCTCATACTTCTGTTTAATAAGTTTTCTGTTTGACGTTTAGTCAGCTGTGTGAAAACCAAGGAGGAACCCACCCGGGGGATTAATAAAGTTTTATTTTATCTAATCTAATAACTTTAATCTCAGCCAAACCGATTTACTCACGAACAAACAAAACACTGCAAAAAGCCCAACAATAACATTTTTAGGTTGTCTAAGTGACTTATATATATTACGTTTAACCCGAGCAGCGAAACTCCGCGGTGATCTGAAAATGATGTGCCGGGAGTTGTGCCGTTCTCGGCCGCATCAGTAATCCTCGAGCTCCCGGCTAGCTGTCGAGCTGGTGGGTAGCAGACGCCTCTGAAAACGTCGAAGCACTTTTGCAAATATGGGATATCTTGATAAACCGAGCAGATATTTGATGTTTACACAACTACTTTCTCGCCTGAAAATATGTTAAAAGTTTATTTTGTGACCCAGAAAGATTAGTATGAGTAATTTTAAAACTTAGTAGCGGCCGCCATTGCTGGAAACTGGAGTTTGGCTGGGCCACGCTATGTATTCTGGGATATGGTAGTAATTTGGACAGCCTTATAATCGCAGTATAATCGCAGCCTTTGCGGTTAGAAAATTGCACTTGATCATGTCGCGATATTATCGCAAATGCGATATATCGTTCAGCCCTACTTCCAGCTGCTCCTGTCAAGCAGTAGAAAAATAAGTCAAGTGATTAACAAACTGAGAAGGGTTCAAGCTTTGGATACACATGGAGTCAAATGTGACATCAGAAAATGATGCCAGTCGACTAAGCAACAGGCCGAAAGTGCTACAGGCATGTACACACATCTGCTGTAATATTGGAAGTTCTGTTGAGCTGTTAGAACATAAATAACAAACTGGTGCTGCTACTGTGGGGCATGTGGCAAGTGTGTTTAAAGATGCAGGTTGGATTGACAAACAGGTGAAAGATTAATAGCACTACTGCAGAATACCGCTGCGGCTCAGGCAAAGTGTGAGGATGTAGCTCAGAGAGATGAATAAATACTAAGTTTGAGATGTGTCTGCAGAATTGGAAATTGGCAGAAGTTGACCACACTGAGTTAAACAAACAGAGGAGGCATGAATGGATGCTGAGTTACTGGATGAGCGTAATCATTAATTGCTCATCTTTTCATGTACCGTCCATCTCTTTCTCGCCTATGTATATCTTCCACCTTATTGATCGATTTGGATCTTAACACGATGGAAGCCTCGTCTGTAATATCTCTGTCAGTCTCCCTCTATTGCTACACTTTAAATGTTAGTGAAAAGGCAAGAAGGCACAGATTGGTGGATAGACTGATGAATAGCTGGAGGATAAAAGAGGGGAGCAGAGGAGTATTGACCTCCTCCTATCTACCTTCAGCACTGTAAAAGCCTCACTCATTCAAGCTGAACCTCTTCAACTTGAAAGCACTCAAAGACTGATGCTCTGATTCTTCGGCTACTTTGATCACCAGGCCTGTCAAATATGTCTTCTTTCTGTCTCTCAGTCCATCTGCTCCTGACAGGCTGGAACAGGACGACAATCTGCAGTGGAATCTCAAACCCACTTCTGCTTCTGCCTGCTCTCATCTTGCTTACATCTCATTCTTTTCCAATTATTACATGTTCTTCCTTGCTGCCCTCGTACTTACCTTTTAGCCTTGTAGGTTTGTTTCTTTTCCTTCCTCAGTATGGGCCTTTTCATGTTGATTACAAATATAAGCACAATTGGGCCGCAAATAGTTTTCCTTACAAACAGTACTAGAGTGTTGTTTTGTTTCAGGCTATTCGATAAATAAAAATCTGTTTTCTGCTTGAGGAAATGAAACCCAACCCAGAAACAATCCTACTGATTTCCCAGTGACTGAAGTCTTGTCTTTGACCTGGTCCTGTGCCTCAGCTTTACAATGATTTTGAACCTGGTAAATGACAAAACAGGTGGCATTGCATTAGACTAGCATCAGCATGGTGCAGGAAACCTTTGAGGACAATATTTTCAGCAATATCTAACATAATATAAGTGATTGATGGAGCTGTGATGAGATGTGGGACATTTGGGCCAGGCCCCTAGTGGACAAGCTGTGTAAGGCCAGTATTTATGTGTTTGTTCGTTATTTATCACAAATGCACTGAAAATATCTGATCTAATCTAAAATTGGCATATAACTGTAGAGAATAAATTGAATGATTAAAAAGGTTAGAAATAGATTGAACAAGGTACACGAATGGCCACTAAAAATGAAAAATGTTGTCTAACCTTGTTTTCCACTAAGAACTTAAACCTTTCCTGCAGTGGAAAGTTTGGAGTTTTGTAGAAATAATTCCTTTAGATGCCTAAAGTTTTGCTAATTAAAATCTTCTTATGTAAAAGGTAGTGATGAAACAGTGTATTACTATAGAAGTAGAAGAAGTAGCACTGTGCAGACAGACTGACAGCCTGCTGTTTCAGAGATTCAATCCTGAATTGGGTGAATTTTTCCAACTTTTCCAGCTGGATAGTCACGTTCGGGGCACAGTCACTTTGACTGATAGGTGTCCCAAGACAGACAGTTATAGTGTCTACTGACCCCCCCCCCCTTAGTGTGTGTGCTGTTGGAGAATTTTTAAATGAATTATGTAACTACTATTATGGGTTGCTGGCCATCCCAGAAGTTTGTGCTTAGTTTTGGTGATTAAAATATTAGTGCCTTCTTAGCTGTTACTTAGAGTGCGGGAAAATATTATTTGGTCACTTGCTGAATTTGTAAGTTTGCTCATTTACTAAGAAATGAACAGTCTCTATTTTTTATGATGGTTTCATTTTAATTAAGTGAGACGGAATATTAACCAAAAGTTCAGAAAAAACACATTACATAAAAGTTATAAATAGATTTGCGTCTCATTAAGTGAAAGTGAA